ATATCGGAAACCTGACAGATAAGTAAAAGGCTTGAGCAGAAATGTCAAACTATTGTGTCATCAACACGTCAGTAATGCGTTACTCTAATCTGACCCCTAACAAGTAATCTAACACGTTACTATTTACAATCCAATAATCAGATTAAAATTATGCATCCACGTACCATAACGACTGTCATTCCAGGATGAACACTCACGCGTTAGCTCTGGTTGTGCAGCTCTACGTGAACCGCAGGAATAATATAATATAATTAGAGGTGTGCCGATCGATCGGCCACCGATCATAATCGGCCGATTTCCGTGAAAAAGTGTATGATCGGTGATCGCCGATCACGGTCTCTTGTTGCCGATCACACAAACTGATCACCTGCATCTCATTTCGCAGCCTGTCTGTGCAGCTGGTCTCCTCTTTCTTCCAGACTGCACAAGCGCAGCGACAAATCCTAAGCGATGAGGAACTATAACGCACTGAGTGAATGGGGACGTTTGCGTGTTGCGGCAGAAAATTACATCGGGGTCGGGGGTGAAGCACGTCAAAATGCATCAACACGACGAATCTAATATGGCATAAAAACATTGCCATACTTGACGGAGTTTGGCTATATCGAGGCTCACTGCAGTAAAAAAAAAAAAAAGAAAAAAAAAAGACATATGGGGCGATCAGAAAGCAGGAAAAGCAGCGCACAGCTACACTCACAAGGATTATTAGCATGACGGTCAGAAAGTTAAACAAATAACCCGCAAAAGTATTTAAGTCTTCGAGCTGCGGTGTAAGACACTGGTTCTGTTCTCGCTGTTGAACCGCTGCTACGCGCAACAGAAGGAGCGCCGCTTCCGCTCCACCTGGTAGTGAACTNACTCTGTACATTTCAGACTTTCAGCATGAGTCCGACTCACTCTTTTATACACGAGGCCCCAGGACTCTAACATTAGCCCATTCAAGTCTGCACACATGAAATATACATTTGATGCTCTGCATACCTCCATTACCAACACATGCAAAGTTATCTGCATGTGACATATGTAAAATTTGCTATATCCAAAAAAAGATACATGGCTGTGAGTCTGTGATCCAGATCAATGTTAGATACTTACAATCTGAGTGATGAGCTGTGAGGCTTCTGTTTGCCCACTAACTGGGAGCAGAGACAAACCTAAGTCAAACACCACAAATCTCTGCAAAGCAGAGAAGTATTGCTCACTGAGCTGTGTCCTCTCCACTAATACCAGCTCCTGAAAGCTGCTACTGGCCTGAAAAACACAAGAAGAACAGTGCAGACCAGTGAGAAGGTTTGCATAAAACTATACTGTCAGACAGCTCACTGGTACCACCTACGTTTCTGTATCGAACCAGCTTCCTTTTGTAGCCATTTCCTGCTATTATGTCACACTCTGACACATAAAGAAGCCTCATTTGGCTGGGAAGATGGAAATCTGCAACACCCAGCTCCTTTTCAAAGAGGATTTTCACACCTCCATCTGCAGAAGAAGTTCAGTGAGGTGACCATTGGGATGCGAAAAGATGGCAGGAGTTCAAACTGATAAACAGTAATGTCAGTTCAAAAGTAGAAGTCATTATTTAGATTTACTACAGAGTGATAGATTTCAAATCTATTTCTTTCAAATGCTATGTAATTTGGATATATATATTATATATACACACATAACAGCAAATGTCATGGCTGTTATATGTGTGTATACACACACACA